GCCTCAACGATTCTGAACGGAACTGGAATGCGTGGCGCATGCGGGAGGCGGTCATATGGCGCGATCACATTGGCATTAGAGCGCACAGCCGCAATTGCCCCATCCTGCTGGCCGGACAACTCGTCCGTATCACTCAACTATTAGACTTCAGTAATTGATCGATCTGATAATTTGGGTCTCCAAAACCTCGTTGAGTCACAAATATACAAAAAGGGCGGATAGCTTCAGCTGGCCGAATGCCAAGGCTAGAGGAACGGAATAAAATGTATTGCGCGGACGAGTATAGACGCGCAGTACATTTTATTCCGTTCCTCTGGCCTTGGCATTAGGCCAGCTGAAGCTGTTCGCTCTTTTTGTATATTTGTGACTCAACAAGGTATTGGGGACCCAAATCACCAGGTCGATCAATTACTGAAGTCTATAGGTTGGCAAGAAAGTTCTGCGACACTCTTTCTAAAATTTTCTTTTTTTTGAAAAATCAATAGGTAACATTTATGACTAACAAATGGTAGAGCATTCTCGAGGCTTTAATCCACGAGGTGGATATAAGTGCTGCAGTCAGTAGTTATCCAAGAAAATTCAAAAAACCTCGACCACTAGTAAATCCATACTCCGAGTCACTGTCTAGTACAAATGTCTCCATAACTATGGATTCGTGTCAAAGACCAACACTATCTGCAATAGCTTCAATAGGCATGTCGTTCACCGCTACAGCGTGTTTCACCTTTACCAGCGCTTTCGATCTTTTGATATTTTTATAAGAAGCCAGCAGCGTCCCACACACTCCATTACAGGTAGGGCTCTTACGGAAGCTCCACTACAAATTCTTCGTTATGGGCACCATTGTGTAGGTAGAGGTCTAGGCTGCGGAACTCCAGAAGCTGGCCGAGGCAGCTCGTCAGGAGCCCTCGTACCGCGACAATATTTATTTCTTTCATGACATTGCGAATCACCATGATCCGAAATGAGCCCGGTAAGAAATTCTGGAGCTGCGGCAAGATTTCTTACCTCTCTTAGCGTATTCCCCTGGTCGAGCTATAAATGACTGCCACCTATCCTGGACCTTAAATCATCATCTTGATGACGAAATAATTAGACGATCAACTCCAACTCGAAAGTGAGGTCGCCTCCTTTCTCGACCCGCACTCCGCTGGGTTTTGGCAAAGGAGCATCAAGAAATTTTCTGAGCGTTGAAGACAAGTGGTGGACACTCATGGTAGATATAAGACCGGTCAGGAGTTGTAAACAAAAAAGATAAAATTAAAATCAAAAATTTGAAAAAGTGTTGCAGGACTTTCTTTCCAACCTAATAGTTTAGTGATGCGGACGAGTTGTCCCGCCACAACAGAATGTGTCAAATGCGGCCTACGACTCCCACACTCGAGATTCACACCTGAGTTGTGAGCATGCATCGGCACAAACTCTAGTGTGAGTTCAAAGAGAGAGGAGGCTGCGAGTGCTTTTCTTGGAAACAGGTAACTTGTTCCCTGCTTTCTTTCATATGCAAAATTGTTATTCAAAAACCTGTGCTTTTACTGCTATCTATCTGTTCTCACGTATAAATTGTTTTTTAAGTGCGGCTAAGGTGACCCTGCTCACAGTTATCTGATAAACATTGGGTCCATTCCTTCGTTTTACTCTTCAGCTCAGTTCAGCTTACACTCTAACACAATATTATAGGGTGAATACGCATATATTTCATCTGGAGGCTTTCTTAATATTTATGAATTAACGAGATCAAGTATGGAATAGGCAATTTGAAGGTTAACCAAAACATCGAAATGTAAACTGTAAGGATCAAACAATTACATGGTAGAGAATGGGCACTTATTTTGCTATCTACACTGTGCAACAATTCTTCATTACTGTGTTCATTCTGCGTCCTCTCCATCTGAAGGCGACTTCCTAAATCGCCTAACCTCTTCGTGTAGGTCATGGACAGGTTTCTTTGATTTCTTCACCTTTGCACGCTGAAAGGTGTTGTTCTCCGAGAGATGAAGAAGTATTGGACCGTGTTTTAATTATCAAAGAAGGAACCTGATGTAGCTGGATTTTGGCCAACTGTGGCTTGCCTCCAGCTTGAGCCAGCTCAGGGCGGACGGCTACTGTACCTGACGACGAAGACTGTGCAACGCCTGCTGCTAGTTGTATGTAACACAGTATCTCCTCCAACTGTTCCATTGCTTCATCTGTATCATGTTTAGCCAACGATGTCGCTGTGGCTTCTAGCACAGCATATGCCTAGGAATATGTTTGATTTTGCTCATCTATTGCTGGTCTATTATGAACACCTACACTTTTTATAGCACTAAGCTTTGTAACGTGCTTCACGGCGTTCCTGTGCCATTGTTGTGGGCTCATCGAGAGGCTCCGAATGAGAAGGAACCACTTCTTCTGCCGAAGTTGTGGCTGGTGTTTCCGTGATTTCCCACGGGTCACCATCTTGACAGCATGCCTGTGGGGACAACTGATACCGCTTCTGTTTTCCATGCACGTGCAGCTCCAGGCATAAGCACAAACACCGCAAGTGGACAGTGTGTATTGTTCTAAAAACGTATGTTAATATTTCATTGATAGGAGCTAGTAGAGCACAGCGCAGCCTGCGACTGCGAGGGACTAACGCTAGGGAGAAGAGGAGGGACTAGTAGAGCAGTGAAATTACCGTGGCGTGACATGTACATGGCCCTTCGCATGTCACTTCAAAAGTTTGCTGGTTCTGCTTTTGACCTCCCACTTGTCTTCCGTTATGTTTACCACCATCTCAGGGTTTTTGCCATGCAAGGTCACTGCGGTCCTATGCCGCTTATAAGTCTCTTTGAGCCTGTACGCGGAATCGGCGAATCGACGGCGGTCCTACAACTATGAGTTGTTCAAATATCACTTCCGGCAACTCTACCTTTTTAGTATTTTCACCTTCTCTTCTATTGATTCCGAAAGATCTTCAACGGATTTAATCAGAAGGTCAACGAAACCGTCGAGCCGAGAATTGGCATTACGGTGGAGGAACTCATCCTTTAGCCTCAAGTGGAATCTTTCGCTTATCATAGTGGTATCAAGAATGGCGCCTCTGTTGGCAAGCGAAGCCCAGCTCGGCGTTCGTCCTGACATACAAATACACTGAAAATTTCATAGTTTTCGGAAGTATAACCCTTGCGAATGCCGAGGTAGTTTCTTTCCAGGTAATCCGCCATTGGCTTGTGACCAGTTCTGCTAAGATAAGCAAGGATTTCTCCAAATCGCGTCTGGAATTTGTCCAGCTGCACTTCCTTCATCAGACCTCGCAGTGCATTGTTGACCATTGGGCGCATTGAGGCCTAAATATTTGCGTTGTTTTTGTTTTCATTGTGCAGTCCACAGTTCTTTGACCTCAACAAGCTCTCACGTTTTTCTTTCCCATGCCTGCTGAATGTGGAATCTACAAAAATGTAGACATGTGTTTGCTCCTGGAAAAACAGCGCGAAAACCGTTGTAGAAGCATGGCGCTTCATCCGTCACCATAGTCGCAGGAGAAAAGTTGGGCATTAAATTTTTTATTTAAATGAATAGCCTGTACATCCGCTGTTGTCATCATTCGACTGAGGAGAAAAGCTAAAATTGAAAGGCTTCCACAAAAGCAGGCCCTATCCATAGAAAATGACACTGACATACCTCCCGGAAGACCACGGTCTTTATCATCTGTAACCACCAAAGTGGCTAATCGCAAGTTATACCTTGTTGTGTGAAACGTGTCATCCAGTGACACACACTTTGAAGGATATCTTTCCAACCATTCCAGCATTAGTGGTGTTATTATCACTAAATTGTATGAATTCAGCTCACTGGTCATTAGGATACACGGCTTTGATTACTCATCACTGTTCCAGTTTCCTAAAGTTACGTGGGGACTCGTTCTATTTGAGCCATCGTTTTCACTCCTCGGCGCTATGAGTGAATGCTATATTCCTGACAGGAATACTAGGAAGTCTCAAAACAAATGTTTCACCAAATATGTGTGAAAACCTGTGAAAAGAAATGCGTTTTTAGCGTAGAAGAGCTCAAATTTCCTCGCTGACGAGTATTTGGTTAAGTCCACTTTCGGTGACAAAATTCGATGGTAGAGAGTAAGTACTTCAAAAGGTCCTTCACCGCCCTTTTGGGTATAGCTCATAAGCACCAATATAGCAAATTTCTTACCCATTAGAAATCTTTTCCCACTAGGATCTTCAGGTAGGTGCAAACACCTAATTCCATCATCGGGATTGTTCTCCTTGGATCGCATTCGTAGAGAAGTGACGTCGTCATTGTGTCTCCATCCTGGTGCCATATTGTACTTCTTTATGATGTTGCAGGAGATCCCCTTTCACCACAAATGCGAGTTTAGAGGACTTGGTTGGATCTTCTTTACGAAGGCGAGTGATGATATAATCCATGGAATGCTCTGTTTTGTGTTACATTGGAGAATTATAATATGTACTGTTTAACATAAATATACTTCGGTACCTTCGAGCAGATTCTTCCGATAAATTCTTTGCTGGTTTGAGAATCTCAGCAAAGCTGGGTCCAGTTCGTGCCCTACGTGACCGAGGCAACCTCTCATTTTAACTGTCCCGTTTTCGTCGAAATCCACCACCAAATGGCACGAACAATGGCGGACATCTTCCTTACTAGCAACCGCTCTCTGTTTTGCAGTCGTCGATTGCACGCCAGCTCGGTTGCACCTAATCACGGAGCGTTAGGGTTACATCTACTTTTTTGTTATCTGGTGCTTTTTTGTTATCTGGACGCAGAACTCACAAAAGTCTCTGTCTAGTCGAAGGACCCTAAACTTCTTTGTACGCTTCTGAAAACGAAGTGCAAGTCTCTTGACATACTCGCGTGAACCACAGCTAATAAAAATAAATCATATCTCACCTAAAAGTGACTACTGGGCTTACAAACCTCATATTCTTCACGACTTGTGAAGTTCTCTGAAACTGTGGAGTAGTTCTGTGGTCGTCCTCCAGCGCCGTTTTCGGAGTGTGTTGTTTGGCAATGTTGTGCCAACATATTATGAGTGGTAAAACCTTCGTTGCATAATGGACATATTACCTTAGCGAGTCCAGCCTGCCCGTTGATTTGTTCACGTATTTGTGATATCTCTTCCCCGAGTTTCCGGTGGGAGACTTTAAGATGGGTGTACAAATTTTTCTTCAGCATCACTTTTCCGCATTCAGGACAGGTGTGGTAAGTATCAGAAGGCATTTCCAGAAACAGATGAATACGTAGCTAGCAGGCTGAGTAGATCGCGCAAACGAAACAATGATGAAAGAGATGAGTGGAGAAAAGCATAAATTACGAAACACCCATGAGTAAATTTGTTTCGCAACAATCGGCTATCCACGAGGGACGGAATACCACAACAGTTTCTGGACTCATGTGAGTTCAATCACCTTTCAGGCCATCTCGAGACCTTCCAAAGGGATCGCTTAGCAGTGTTCCTCGCGATTACCTGTGGAAGACACGAAAGAAACCTGGTTGCGATGAGTCCATTTTACCCTATGACACAAAGGACACATGCTCTGACCTGGGCGGACATACGATTGACACCAAAATTCAAAAAAAAATGAATACAGTATACAACATGTCATGTAATAAATCGCTCACCTACAATCTATCACATCCAATTGGAGACAAAGTTGCTGGCAGTAGGACCAGAAAAAAAGTAGAGAAATACCCCAAATCCAGTAGTCAGAATAGAAGAATATGTAGTGGAATGCACAGCAGTACCACACTGAGTAGCCAGAATAGAAGAATAAGTAGTGGAATGCACAGCACTGCCACACTGAATAGCCAGAACAGAAGAATAAGTGAGTGAAGTGCACAGCAGTGCATTATGTAGTGGAGAAAAGACAGGTCGAAGGCCAACTGGCAACGAGCCAGGCCGCCGCAACGCTGATGCACGCCACACCCAATTCAAATGTCCGCGCGCGCGAAAATAATTCAAACCGCAGCCGACTGTGAAGACTACCGGCGATCTCTGGGAGTAGTGCTCAAATAACCACTGAGAAAATTGATCACTTCCCTTGTTGTTTTTTTTCTTAAGTTTTCAGTTTTTTTTCTTGCACACGCGAGCCATCACTCTTCGAATGGTCATGATTTTCCCAAATCGTTGTTGTAAAGGTGAGCGTTATGAATAGCTGAGTTTCCGTTCCATAAAAACCACAGAACCTGATCTGCAATGTCACGAACTCACAAATATTTCTTTTTGCAGGTTTTGTTCTGAGTCTCTAAGATGCCAATCGCCTGGTTGGACTTTCTTGCACTTTGATTTGATCAGAGTGCATTGGATTTTCTTTGAAGGCAAGAATCAGGATTAAATTGATGGGTTGATTCCACTCAAATGTGAAAGTAGGGATGGGAGGTGGACCGCCAGTGGAGAAAAAAGGAAAGAAAATCCTGAAATACACAGGAAATACGAGCATTTTGCTCTATGCTGTGGAGAAGTTCAAAAGACAGGCAGGGAGATGAGAGATAATGTGAGCGCGGAGAGCGGTAGAGAAGTCCGAGAAGAGAGAGAGCATAGCAGATCAACGCAGCGACGCAGACAAGATATCGAACGGTGGGCGGACCATGTTAAGTTTGGTGGAGTCTGTTAGAAGTCCATGGCGCCTAGGGTCCTAGTGACGCGTTTCGATGTAGAAAGGTGGCGCTACCTTTGCACTTGCGTACCCAGCACTTCTAGCCATGGTAAGGGCTTCTTAGGTGGGTCTGAGCCCGAACTTTGCCTTTGAAGCAATACCCACGCCCTTGAAAGTTGAAATGACGGTGAATTTTCTGTACTTTCCCTGTACGCACCCGTCCGTGGTTAAGAAGCGCGAGCATATAAAAGTGTTGGGGTGTGATAGGGAACCACTTCGATTGCGGGGCCTTTGCTGCAGGCCCAAATCCAGAAGCGGTCTCCAGTTACCGTCCCTTTCGAATTACCCAAAAACGAGAAGAGCGTCGGTGCAGACCATACACCACAAGTGACGACGGCCTTCCAAGTAAATCTGGTTAGTAGTGGTTCATAGCTGATTTTTGGTAAATGATAGTTGTAATTAGTGACAACTGATAGAATACAACTGCAACAGGCTAATCATTTCATTGGCAGAAAACATTTACATTTTGTGGAGGCCGTCGTCACTTGTGGTGTATGGTCTGCACCCGACGCTTTTCTCGTTTTTGGAAGGAGGGCATGTGTACTCGATATAAATGCTCGTGGAAAATCGTGGAATAGGGATGAGTCTGAATTAGGTGGTATATTTTACTAAGTTTTCTCAGTCACATATCTATCCTACACCACTTTACATCTTCACTGCAAGACTTATGGACCAATCTGATATTTGTGCAAGCTGATGGGGTAATGGATCGGGAGAGGTGGGTCATTTTTGACGGGTTTGTACACGATTTCACGGAAACTCCATGAAAAAGTGTAAAATGGATGGGCATTGGGGAGAATTGCTGCCTCATTGTATAATTAACCTTCCGCTCGATGGTGGTTACAGAGGAAAAGGGAGGGGGCAGTTGGGGATTTGTGCTTTGTGAACTGTCTCAGGACCACATACTACAGACACAGTCACGATGGAGACGGTGTCGGTCGGGGTAGGGTGGGGTTCGTTGATTGGGGATCCTTTAAAGGCTGATGGTTGTGATCAAATCGGGACTACCCGAAGTCGGAGGGGTCGCAACATTTCCGGAGAAGTGCGAACACGACGGTCAACCCTGCTCATACATGAGCTTATGGTGACAGCTCTCAGTGAACGAAAGGTTTGCAGGTTCACCTATTCTGAAAGTTGCCTATCAGGTTGCAGTTGCCTACAGGGCGTTGAATTCATTTCATTCAATTCATTCAATGTGTCTAAGTCAGTGTGCTTCAGCTTGTGGTTTACGTAGACAACTCTATTCTTGCAAGCACTAAATAAGCTGTCGCGTCAAGCGAGAGACAGCAGGAATATCGAGATCTGAGTAACCATCGAACTTCCTTTTTCGGTGTGCACTTGAAGTTGGCGGTGGTCATTCTACCCTTTCTCAGTCCGTGAGGTATATGATTTTGCCTTCCCTTGGATTGATTCGTTTCACTATTTTTTGAATCAGAAATACGACTCTTGGCTCACTGGAATGCTTTGTGATTTATTTTGTTGTCTCGCTGAAAATTTGCTTTTCTTCTTTGTTCATTGTTGCTCGCCCTACTTACAATCAGTTAATGTGGTTCGTTCTCATCTCCTTCTCACGTAATACTTAAAGAATACTAATAATAGTTAGAGTTTACGGGTAGAGGACAGCCCACTAGAATAAAGGAAGAGGTAAACAGTGGTATCAGGATAGAGAGAGAGTCATAGAAATGTCTCAAAACCCGAGGAGTGAGATCCCTCCCTTGCCCTTTGATTTCTGCGCTGTATGAGTCTCATCGGTGCTGCCTTCCTTATTTATTTATTTATTTATTTATTCATGCGTGCAGTTGACGCGCCTATAAATAAACAAACATTGTGGTTAGTCAATGAGGACGGTAGCCCTATTATCTTCACGAAACTATTAAAAACTACGATATAAAAGGACTACTGCAAACCTATTCCCTTTCCTGCATTCAAAGAGATAGCAGCACGAGGGAAAATTAGCACTGCTGACCCTCTAGCGAGGAACTAAGGAAGACCTCTCAAACTTGGGTGACTTTGAGTGTAATCCAGGTACCTTACCTGCACCAGTCGGCAATGGTGCCCATAGCACTACTATAGGTGCAATGGGAAGCCTGCCTGAACTTCGGGACACGAGTATACCGACACCCTCGTGGAACAGGCAGGTCAGGTAAGGACCAGATGCCACTCGTGGATTTCAGCAGAGAGACGTTACTTCCAAAGCTTGTAAGTGGAGGTCACATACTTAGCAGACAGAAAAGTTTTCTGAGGTGTGTCCTTCTAGAAAGGAAGGGTTAAACGAAGTGGCGGAATATACTGGGTCCCGATCCTCATGACTAGACCATTCCAATACTAATTATACCAAATTAAAGAAGGTAAAAACAAGCACAAAGCACAACGGGGAAAATACAATTACTCAAGGAAAAAAGTTGGTAATCGAAATATGAAGCCTTGCATCCAAAGAACAATATTAATACGCCTGGTGACCACGATATCGTGATATGTTGATCCGATGATGTAATCAGAAAGGCGAGAGTCCACTGTAACGATCTCTAAATGGAGCTCACAATTAGACCACTTAACTAATGACATCCGTAAGATTGAGTTTTAATAAATTCTTCCTGAAGGTCTTACCATTCACTGTCCCGAATATTTCGGGTGGAAGCTTCTCGAAGATCCTAGCCATGCGGCAGAAGAAAGAGTGGTAGGTCATTGAGTAAAATTTTCTATGAATTCTCGTATGATATATGCCAAATCTCCCGGATCTTTCGCTACAGGGCTTGAAGACCCAGTATTTGCTAGGTCTAAGCCTGGTTTCTTGCCTCAGTATTTTGAATCCCAAGGTGATGTCATTAACCAACCTTCTTTTGCTTAGACTAATCAAACCAAGCCATTTCATTCTCTCTTCATAACTCGGCATGTCACAAGATGCTGTCCGTGGATAGTTTCTGGAGTAAGCCAGTCTGGTAAAAGTTCGTTGAACTTTTTCCAGCTTGACTACATCTTTCTTAAGAGTAGGATTCCATAATTGTGAACAGTAATTTAAGTGAGGTAGTACATATGCATTATATAAACGTAGGAGGAGCTTGGGCTCCCTGATCTGGGTATTACGAAAGATCGTGAATAGTGCTGCCAGAGCTTTTTTTACCACCATATCTATCTGAGAGGTGAACTTCAAATCAGATTGCAGATTGACACCTAGATCTTTCACACTTGTGTGACTTACTAAGGTAGACCCATTCATGTTCTTCAACACTAACGCTCTCCCACCCTCTCTCTGCACACAGCTACAGACCTGCGAGGAGTGTTAGCCAGTTGCTGGGCGTACCGCTCCGGCATCGCCGCGTGGATGGCCATGCTAGTCGTAGGACTCATATCCTTTGCTGTACCGCCTCTGTTTTCACTAGGTGAGTTTCCCCCGACTTCGATCTTTGACCTTCTCATTGAATCGCACTTTAAGTGAACCGGGTTGCAACCGTATTTGATCTGGTTTGTAGCGTTTGCTCTTTTTTATGTTTTGTTGCAGTATTATTTTTGTTGATACTGATAAAATTCGAGTTTCAATGTAGCACGCATTCAAGTAAAAAAATA